TTTACATGTGTTACATTAAATATAATTTCGCTCGGAAATTGATTTCGATTTTGCATTAGTCCTTTGAAGATCATTTTGCCAAGTTGTCAAGGTCAAGGTCACGATGCAAGGTTGACAGGATCTCTCACCCTTCTTGTATTTGCATACATACACCTTGAAAACCTTCCTTTAATCCCTTCGCGATATTTTCGCTTTCGCTACTGTAACATTGTAACTTTTGTTATTTTTTTTTTTATTTTATTATTCAATTTCGTAATTGCGTATTTATTTAATTTATATGTTGACATTGCGAAAGTGTAAAGCGCCGAGTTGAGTCGACACTGATTAATTTGATATTATAAATAAATTTAGCGTCAACATTACTTCATTTTTACTCAATAAAACCTTCTGCTTGCATAACAAATTGTTTATAAATTCATAAACGAAAGAACGGAATACAACAAAAGCCTTTTTTGGATTCAATCTTGTACAGTAGCTGAAGAAGCATTAGGCGATTTAGTTAGTTTTTATCGTTAAAACTTTAAAAGATTTTAAAGAAAATTTCTTAATAAACACGGGGTGTATAAAACACGGGTCATATGATATATATATAAACTTATGTGTAGTTGCATTAGTTTAGGGTTAGTTAGTGGCATCATACAGATTAGGTTGCTATTTATCACACCGCATCACACCCTACTATGTTTTATGAAAAAAATAACGTCAAATTAGTATGATGAATTATAATTCTTTCTACTTTTATACATGTTAATAAATTAATCGTGTATACTTTCTTCGGCTACTGTACATTGATACTTATTCTTTTAATGAAGGAGCGTCTGAAAACGACTATAATTTAAAGCACACCGGAAAATAATCAAATAACTTACCATTATTGTTTATAAATAAAAATTCGTTCATTTTAAATTACAATATAACGATATTAAATATGGATGACTTATTCCTAATGTATGTAAAAAGTTTTATTCGAATTTAAATTGTCAACCATTTAAATATATGAATATATTTACCATTTACATTTATTTATATATTTAAAAATTAATTATTAAATTATAGCGTGTTAATAATAATACACAATTTTATCTTCTAATTTTAAGAAACTTTTAGAAATTGTTTCAGATTAGCAATATAAACTTGGCATGCATGCTAAGCTTTATTATTATCAATTTCAGTTATTTCTTTCTATTCCTTTTTTTCCTTTACGTTTGTGTCCGACTAAAAGAATCTAATGCCATATTATTAATTGTCATGCATATTTCGATCACAGTCTACTTAAATTTAGTATACGTATCGGATATTTCCAAATCGGATTATTGATATTTCTCGATCCCCTAAATTTTAAGTAAGCTGTTACACAAATCAATAGATTTCCAATACAGGCTAGTCCGATTTTTTGGTGAATTACTTTGTTAATGTTCTAAAAAAAAAGAAAAGAAAAGAAAAAAAACTGCTTTATTTTGTATGTCTCATTTCAATATCAAATGATCCATTTTCCGACCAACTCTTCCAAATAAAGCTTTTATTTCTATAATCCATTAACGGATTATTTTATTTTATTTTTTTTTTTTAAAAAAAAAAAAAAGGAAGCAAGGATTTAAATTTATTGATTCACAGTCTGATTTTATGTGGAACAGAAAGATTTGATTCAGCTTTAGCGTTCAATATAATGTGATCAATTATTTTATCTTTAAAAATTAATAGAAGTATAAAACTTTTTTTTCAAAGTGATTTACCGCAATTTAGATTAACGATCGTAAAAGTTCCCTCACTTATTTACGCAACTAAATACTAAACCATAGAGAGAAATAATTATGATTATTGATTACCATATTTAATAATTTTCTATTTCTCGACAAAATTTTTGTCTATGTTAAGATAACGATAACGATAACTATAAAATATATTATGAAACTACTATTTTCAACGATCATTCAATAGGGCAAGATATTTTTATATTTAAACCCATTTTATTGAACTCATAAAACATTTAAAAACGATATTTTAATTGAAGCCTCGCTTTGACATTACATAATAAATATAAATAACCACGCCACGCGTTAAAAATTGCGGCCTCCGTGAGAAAATTTACCCAGTAAAAGTTTTTCGACCCTTACCACTTCTGGAGATTTTCAAATGATTAGCACAGTCTCGCCCGTTTGTTACCGAAAATTCGATCGATCGAGCATTAATTCAAAACTAAAAAATAAACAAAATAATTTCTAATATAGATTGCATTTTCGTAAATAAAATAACATCTTTAAAAATATAATTTCCATGAAAATGGTTTGATTTTAGATTTTTAAATTTTTTCATCGAATTTTCAATTAAATAATATTTGGGAACAATTATTTAGATTATGAAATCAAAATGCCGTTTCTAGACAGGTTTATCTTCATTCTAAACTAAATAGTATAAATGATGGTATATATTTGGGTGCAATTATTTAATTGAAAATCATATTACAAAGGAGATGAAAAAAATGTTTATAATCACAATAGAGAAAAAAATAAATAAATACAATATTAATGTCGATCAATACGATCCCGAGGTCACTTTAAAAGGGGAGTATTGAATAACAAATTCTGTTAACTTCTCCTCTTTCAAATTAGCTCTGAAAAATGGCTGGTGATAGTGATAATGGTGATGAATGCAATATCTTTATAAAAAAATTTTTGTTTACCGATATAAACTGTTGATTAAATAAATGGACTTGCATTTAATAATTTAGTACTTCCAATACCAAATCCAAGGCTCTTGGATAAATTGACACAAACGGAAGTTAAGAATCATTTTAGGAATCAATTCCTTGGAAAAATGATTCAATTTGATATCTCTCATTATGAATTGGAAAATTTTTTAACGCAAAAACTTTTGGGAAGAGATTTACTTTACGTTACATTTGAAGAAATTCGTTCTTTTGGAATTAGTTATGGTTCAGCCAAGAGACTTTGTGAAGAAATTACGAGATTGAAACGTAAGTCACATATATTTTTAGGTTTTTATTTAAATAAATTTGAAATATGCATTCTTTATTTATTTATATATAATATTTATTTTTTTGTTTTTTAGAATTATTTCAAAATTGTTAATTTTTAAAGTCTTAATTGATATCAATAAATGTAATTAATCATAATTTATACTAAATAACAAATAAACATTTATTATTTATCAATTTCTTTACATTATAACTATTATTATGACAAAAAATTTGAATAAATACAATTAATTTATTAAATATGAGATTGAAAATTCAACCTTCTTTTTGCAAGCGTTTAAGGAATGTTATCGGTTTCGTTCGATATTTGAGGGTAACGTTACAAGTATTTGTTCTGAAAGACGTATATTCATAATTAGAAGTTTAAACTTCGCTGATTATAACTTCACTTGTCACCTCTAATATTTCTACTTGTGGAGGATGTTGTAAAGGATGTTAAGAGCCATAAATCTTTCCTGTTCTATCAAAAATTTTATTAGTTTTCATAACCCGATTTTTAACAAATAACGTATATTCCTTAGAAGAAGGATCGGAATATCGTTTGAGGGATTCTCCATTGCTGTTTTAGTAAAGTCTTCATTGCCAAATGAACACAAACGTTGAGGTGCGGCAATTTAGATCAGTACCTATAAAGCAAACTTCATATTAGATAATTATTAAAGTAAACAAGAAAATTTTGCATTATCGTTAATGCCGTCCCAGCACGAAACCCTTACAAAAGAAGAAAAATTTATTGTAAAACTGTTACAGGTTGTCGCTTATAACATGTAGCTATTCCTATATTCGTCATATCTGGAAAATTATACCAAACAGCAACCTCAAGTCCGTCCAAGTCAACTGTGGACAGGCCATGTTTGTGATTCTTAAGTCGGTCTTCATTGGTATCGTCTTGTTAAAATCCAGTATTGTGTTTTAAGCGAAAATCAAATTATTTTAACATAAAAAGATATATTTAATCAAATTTAAAAATTTTTTATATCATCTCGGCAAGCCACTTCAATTTTAATAACATCAATTTGTCAGAATTTAACAATTTTCTAAAAAAAAAAATGGTAGTACCTATACCCGCCTGTCATTTCTTTCTTTCTTTCTTTTTTTTTTTGCTAAACCACGTTAATAATTTTATTTGCCAATACCCACTGTTAGCGGTTTATTTTTCAAATATACAAAAGAAGAGCAACCTTAATACATGGGTGCTCATAAACTGTTCAAGAAACCTTGGGTTCAATTCTAAACTGTACCAAAATAAATCAAAGAACAACGAAAAAATTTTTTTTTTTATTTGCTTTTTATTTTATTATGCTTAATTGTGAAATGGTACGTGATTTAAAAATTTACATCATCATCTATTAATCTTAATTGTTATTATATATATAATTAGAATAATTAATATCGTCTACGCCGTTGAGACAATTTCGAACATTCTGGAATAAACTACATTTTTCGTATTACTGAGCTTACTAATTATTAATACGGTTTTGTAAAGATCCTCACATTTTAAAATCAAATACAAGAAAAAATAGTTTTAAGCAACACAGTTCTTCCGGCAACCTCACGTTCCTGAACAAAGACCATATTTTTAACAACCCTGGAGCAAAACAAGATTACTTACCAAAGTGCAAATAAAATTAAAGAGACGTATGACGTCTCAGTCGAAACATTGCGACGATGGGCCAACTCCGGAAGAATTGCTATTATCAGGACACCTGGTGGAAAATGACTCTATTCAATCACAGACATACGAGGAATCTTTGGAGACAACCCGACACAGCCCACATAAAAGGCCAAGGTCTGCTACGCCAGAGTCAGTTCGGAACATCAAAGAGGTGACCTCGAACAACAGATTGCAAATCTCCAACAGCACTACCCAGAATACGAAATCGTCAGCGACATTGGCTCAGGGCTCAACTGGAAACGCAGGGGGTTTGTTGCCCTTCTGGAACGAATACACGCAGGAGGAATTGAAGAAGTGGTGGTTACCTGAAAGGTTTGAGTTTAATTATTTGTTTGCTTTGATTATTGTTTTTATTTTGCTAACTTTTTTTATTAGGACCGATTGTGCCTTTTTGGATCTGAGCTTATGAAATGGATCTTTGAGAAGAATGGGACTCGGCTCGTGGTACTCAGTACGGACGTTAGTGCTGAAAGTAGTGAATCCAGAGAACTTGCAGAAGATTTGCTTGCAATCGTCACAGTGTTTGTGGCGCGACATAATGGATTACGTTCAGCCGCAAATCGCAAAAAGAGAAGAGATGTTGCCCAAGAGTTCCAAGAAGTCCAAGAAAGAAGTGAAGAAACCTCCAGCAGGTAAGGTACAACGGATTCGCATTTATCCCAACCAGCAGGAGCGTCTGAAACTCAGAAGATGGATGGGAACAGCACGATGGACATACAATCGGTATCTTACTGCGGTCAAAAAGAAGATATCAATCGAAAAAAGAAGGATCTACGCGCACTATGTCTCAACGCCAAAAATTTCATTGATACCAACCTCAAATGGGTTCTTGAAACTCCCTATGACATTCGTGGTGAAGCAATGAATGACTTTCTTAAAGGATATTCTTCTAACTTTGCTTCTAATCGTAAAAAATTTAATATGAAATTTCGTTCTAAAAAAGATCCTCAGCAGTCTATTGCAATCTTATCAAAGCATTGGGGTAAATCTCGTGGTGAATATTCATTTCTTCATAAAATC